TGAGAGGGCATTAGAGGAGAACGTGATAGAATTTTAAAAAATTTACAGATAATTTTTTTTAATAAATAATAATTTTTAAACCGTTTAAAAAATGCACACACACACACACAAAAAAAATCACAGCGATCATCCTAACTTTGCACTTTCTTTTCTATTGAAAATATCCCCCTCCCATCAAACAACTATTATTATCGCTGGCAGGTTAACTTTGAATTCAGACAGTGTGAATGATATATAAAGAGAAAATTACAGGTTTTTCCATCTCTCGTTTCTGAGGCAGCTTCTTCTTGGTGGCTTTGCGTTCAGCTCTGCGCATCTCTGTGTTCGTGTCAGCGGCTGTAATGAGCTTCTGGAGGTCCTGGGCCTTCTTCTCACGCTCCTTCTTGCGTGTCTCAATCTTCCTCAACTCCTGGATCAGGTATTCCTCTTCTGCCACCTAAAGGAAGGAAAAAGTACATATTCATGAAGTACATAGCTTGTACTTAACTCTTTTCCCGCCATTGATGGAATTTTCCGTCATTCATAGCACAGCGGTTCCCAGCCATTGACAGGATTTTCTCAGCTTTTTGTTCAAAATGTTGCTTTTTTATGAAACTTACCCACATTCAAGTGTTGATTTAAAAAAAAGAATGCATGAAGATAGAATAATAAAAAAGGAGGCTCTGTTTATTATTTTGATATATTGCATGTTCAGATATTCATACAAAAAAACATTCTGGGGGCCATAAAAGTTTTGTTAAAATGATTATAAAAAAAATGCAGGCACTGGCTGGAGACTTTTTTTCTTTCTTTTTTTTTTGCTGGCGGGGAAAGAGTTAAATAGACCATTTTATACCCTTTCACAGTATCTTCTTGATTTTGTTTTAGGAGTCTACTAGGTTGTTTCATGTTTGAATGTTCAAAAAAAAAAAAAAAAAAAAAAAAAAAAAATCACATATTTTCCATTGTTGCAGCACCTCTCTTCCCAGTCTGTCAATAACGATCTGTCTCTATGAAGCTCCTCCTTCCAAAAGAGCAATATGCTTTGATAGGTTGGCTGGACCAGTGTGTTGTGATTGGTCAACTGCTTTGAGCGTGTTTCGGAAATGTCACACCCTTTCCATAACTGCGAGTTTCAACACAGTACTAACGCAACTCAACCAGGATCCACTCCTCTATTTTGCATATGCCTTGAGTGAAAATGATTTAAATGAGGAATATTGTGGCGTGCACATTCTTGGAAGAAAACTCAAAACTACAATCAAGGCCTTTCAGGCCGCTCAGAAACGGTGCTTGCTGTTTGAGCATAGTAAAGGTCTGCATTCTCTATATCAGTAACATTACATACTAAAGAAGAAAGTTGAACATGTAAAAAATCTTAATAGGTCCTCTTTAAAACTGACACTAATACATCACTGTTGTAATAATTGTTATGCAGATTGTAAAAAAGATGAGCAGTCTCACCTGTTCTGGAGTGCGGCTGAAAAGTCTCTCGAGCTGCTCTTTCCTGCGTCTCTCATGACCAGCATCAAAGATGTAGATCTTGGGCTCAGTTCCTGTTCCAGCCCGAACCTTTGTTAGTTTGCCGCAAATGCTGTAATAACGCTCTTTAAGATCCTCCGCAGAGCGCTTCTACAATTACATTGAAATCAGGGAAGAAATGTGATTTGAAGGAAGCAAAATGTAACGTGGTAAAATTACTATTTTATGTTCAGTTAAAAGCAGAATCATGAAGAGGAATTTACTCTGTACTGTTGGTGATCATAGCGATCATGGATAACAATAAACCTCAGGTCGAAACGTTTACACAAGTCAAACAGGTGATCCGTTTCAGCTTTCGTCCATCCGTCGTCATGAAGATACATCTGATACTCCTGCTCAGAGTACACAGGCACCTGCACAGTCTATGAACAGGAATAATATTTTCAATAACATGCAAGGAGAGGAATTTCTATTTCAAAACAAGAATATAACACAATCTCTTCTCTCTTCCCTTTACTAATATCATTTTAACAATCTTCTCTTTCCAACCTTGTTGAAGCGAGCAAATGGGTAGTCCTTTCCCTCCTCTGCTGCTCGTCTCCAGTGATGGAAGATGGCACCATCTTTTCTGGCTGGATTAGAAAAGGGCATCCACTTCCAGGGCCGCACCTTCTTACAGCCCAGTTTCGCTTTCACGGTCCGGTAGCCTTGCGTAGTATCACTCGGTAACAGGGGAGGGGCATCCCGACTGAAAATAGAAAATGTTAATGATATGTTGTCATGTTTCAATGTAACAATATCAGCATCCATGTGCAGCATTCAGGGCTCAGCTATAAGGATTTTTAATACAGGGCTCAACTATAAGGATTTTTGTGACGACCTATTCGGACCAGTAGACAAAACAAAATATATTTAATTTTTAGTAACATATTTTTACGTGAAACTCAAGAGATATATATACATACACTACTGTTCAAAAGCTTAGAGTCAGTAAGTTTATTTTTTTCAGCAAGGATGCATTAAACTGATCAAAATTAACAAGATTTTGGTCCCACTTTATATTAGGTGTCTTTAACTAATATGCAATAACATTTAAATTAATCAATTGATTCAATGCACCTATTGTGCACATGCAAGTTTTTACATTGTACTTATATTAACAAAAAAAAATTCCTGCATGTAATTACAGCTGTAATTAATTTCTGTAATTACATCTATAATTACATCGTTGACCCTTCCCTTATCCCAGCCTTACATACCACCATGTCTCTAACCTTACCCATATCCCACCTCAGTAAGTGTTTTGCAATACAACATGAACACAATAAGTACATTGTAGGTATTTTTGATGCAAGTACATAGTAGTTAGACACCTAAACATAAAGTGTAACCAAGATTTCTAATTCAATGCTGTTCTTTTGAACATTCTATTCATCAAAGAACCCTGAAAAAAACGTGTCACAGTTTGCACAAAATATTAAGCAGCATAACCAAATCACTTTCAACATTAAGACATTTTTCTTGGGCAGCAAATCAGCATATTAGACTGATTTCTGAAGGGTCATGTGACACTGAAGACTGGAAAATGATGCATTGCTGACAATTCAGCTTTGCCATTAAAGGAATAAAATAAAATGTAAATATATTAAAATAAACACCAGTTATTTTAAATGATATTAACAGTTCACAATATTACTGTTTTTAATGTATTTTCGATCAAATAGATGCAGCCTTGGTGACCATAAGAGACTTAAAAAAAAACATTACAGACCTTTTGAATGGTAGTGTTAAGTGTAGTATATTTAGCCTACTTCTCAAAAATAAATGTACTTGATTTTTAATTTGCATTTTGCAATAGCTGAACATTATGACAGACAGCTATAAACTCATACAAACCCTTTTGCTGTACAATTGATATAATATAACATGTTAGTCAACTAGATCAAACAATAAATTATACTGTACATTCAAACAGCAACAGAATCTGCCGCTTATCATGGGAATCAATTTTTTAGAGGGCAATGCAAATAAAATCTCATAATATGGGCAATAAAACAGTGAGGTGAGAAGGTTGAGCTGAGACAGCAATCTTACTTTTTGTCTGAATACAGCAAGGCATAAACTTCTCTGTGCATTCCTTCTGGTCTCTTGAAGGTTAATGTCTCTGTGACTTTCTTGGCTTTTTTCTACAAAGATAAACAGAATGAGAGTTGTCTCAATACATCTGACATCTGTCACAGTAACATCCATCTATCTGAATTCAAAAGTTTGCTGGTGTTGGTTCTCTGTGCCAGGTTACCTTGTCTGAGTTGATGAAGTCCTTCTTGCTGATGGGTCCTGGATCATTGTCTCCTCCTGTCAGCTCCAGAATATCCCTCACGTCAGCACCGGTAGTCATGATGAAGGACTAATAGTTTAGACAGAATTATTAGCAAAGAGATGCACATATAAAATACTTATACAATGAAATGGTTGGCTTGCTTTTGAAAGCAGACAATTAAGCATAATCTTTGTTATGAGAACTGAATGAACAAATGGCAGCAGTACGTCTGACAACGATCATAATAACAACAACATCAAACACAGACAACACATCAGGGTTAAATGTTAGAACTTGTTTGCTGGGTCTGTGTGAGCTGGTAACGTTAGATAAATAAATAAATGATAGCTTAAAAACTGAGCCTGAGCGCTAACTCGAATCTCGGAATCAATGAGCTTAGAGGCGGGAACCCCATTGAGCTCAAATAGTACTTCCAGAACAGCATTTACGAACAATAAGGGAAATAGAAGTAACGTTTAATCTTACCTGAGAAAAATAAAGGCAGCCTGTGTTTCTAAAATATGTATGTGGTCTTTATTTGCGTGACAGTGTTAGCTGAAACGCTGCATCTACCGGCGGATGCAGATCTCCTCTTCGACGGTGGGCTCCTCTGTGCTTCACGACAGTTGTGTAAATGATCGCCTCCTATCGGACAAAACGATGTAGTGCATCTACAAGACACTGTCAGTGTCACTGTTCATAAAATGCCTTAGCCTACCTATGTATATAAACCGCCAATGGATAAATCCAAACTACAAAATTACACGTTTTACAAAACATTTATTTTAGGAGCATGGCATTTTTGAGAATATAATAGAATTATGTGAAACCATTCTAGACACTGCAAAGAGGCAACAGCAATCCCAAAATTATCTTTACCACTCTTACAAAATCAACATTTACCAATAAAATCCACATACATAAAGTAAAAATTCCATAAAAATGAGAAAAATATCTTAAGTGATTAATAAAATACAGCATTTAACCACATAATACATCATACAAGAAAGTTATCCCTGATAGAGTGGTGGCATACAATTTTATTAACATCAAAAAAACAAAGGAAAACAACTTACTGCAATAACAGTGATAACCAGTTCTACATCTTTCATTCATTGATATACAGACAGACAGACAGACAGACAGACAGACAGATAGACAGATAGATAGACAGACAGACAGACAGACAGACAGACAGACAGACAGATTGATATAGATGGATGGATGGATAGATAGATAGATAGATAACATGCATAAATTTAAACTATTGTAAAATAGTGTTTAAGTAATGTGTCACTGTTTGATTGATTACAAAGCAATAATCGAAGAACTGTCATGCAGATAGCCGGATTACACCAGTTGAAAAATTGTAGGCCTATCTAAAGAAATATAATTGATTATCATTACTGCTAAAACCTTTCATCATAATCTTTCCCCTTGTGGGAGAGCAGCACAAAAAATAAATCTATGCTTAAAAAAAAACTAAAAGCATTTTACAGTTTCACACATCACTTTCAGCCACCAAATATGTTCTATCCCTTGAATTACAAGAGGGGCAGTTTAATTTTTGTGCGGACGTGGTCTCGCTTGAGCTCTCTTTCCCTGAGATAGGCCTGCAGCTTGTCTGTTGAAAAACAGACCACAGAGTCGCTGTGTTTGGAGGGAGGACGGTCTCCTTGTATCCAGGGGTTTTGGAGGCACTCTGCAGCTGTTGGTCTTGCCCTGATGAAACATGGAGCCACATCAAAAACTGCCTACAGTACGTCCACATACTAACTGATTCAGTGTGAAAAAGACTATAGTGCAATTTCCATATTTAATCTGTCATTAAAATCATAATTTGCCTGAAGTTTAGAAGCAGGATATATTTAACAATTGTTTTTTCTTATGTCTATTGATGGAAAGTCATAAATATAATAATACTATTTTTTATCTTATTAGCTTTCTGCCATTCCATCAGCATCATCAAAATATGACATGAAATCTCATTGTCTGTTATTTGGATATAAAAAATAAGCAGTCTATGAATTTTACCAGGATTTGTTGCTCATGGTGTTCTTCATGAAGTTGATGGCTCCCTCTGAGAGACCTGGGTAACAACGACTGAACTGGATCTTTCCTTTTTTGATGTTTCGATCCCTCTCCCAATTTAAATCAGCATGAAAGGGACTGTCTGCACTCAACCTACAAGGGGAAAGTAAAGAACATTGAGGAAATCACTTGACAATGGCTGAACAATAAGGATGCCCTAATTGCCATGTCACACTATTCCTTATACGGTTACAGTTTTACTGAATGAAAGTACTTACATTATAAAAGCCAAAACACCAACAGCCCAGATATCAGTTTCGGGTCCAACTCCTTGTCCATCTAAGATTTCAGGAGCTTTAGGAAGGACAATATAAACTAACAAACAGAACAGAAAATATTTTTTCATAAACTAAATTGTTTTTTGATAAGATACTTGACACTTTTTCTTTAAAGATGTCAAGAAGCTGAGAAAATGTATAACACAGATATATTACCACTTTAAAGTTTGAGGGTAGTAAGATTTTTTCAAAGAAAGAAAATCAAATTTGTACTTTTATTCAGCAAGGATGCATTAAATTGATCAAAAGTAAGAGTAAAGACTTATATCATGCTAAAATATCTATTTCAAATAAATGCTGTTCTTTTGAACGTTCTATTCATCAGAGAATCCTGAATGTATGTATCACAAAAATGTATCACATTTTCTATCAAAAATATTAAGCAAGTACAACTGTTTTCAACAATGATGATAATAATAAGAAATGTTTCTTGTGCAGCAAATCAGCATATTAGAATGATTTCTGAAGGGTCATGTGACACTGAAGACTGAAGTAATGATGCTGAAAATTCAGCTTTACCATCACAGGAATAAATTACATTTTAAGATATATTAGAATAGAAAACAGTTATTTGGAACTGTAATACTATTTGACAATATTACTGTTTTTACTGTATAAGTGATCAAATAAATGCAGCCTTGGTGAGAGAAGAAACTTCTTTCAAAAACATTTAAAAATCTTTCCGCCCCCGAACCTTTAAATGGTAGTGTATAATGATTAAATCAAAGCAAAGTTTTTGAAATTTGAAAATTAGAAAATTTCTAGAAATAGATTTACCTTTATTATCTGTCATTTCTTTGATGTGTTCGATGTTCAGCGCCTGTCCTGGAGTGAAGGGCTGAGCGGAGCCCAAATCAACAATCTTCACTACATTTCGGCCTGTCACAAGCATGTTGTCTGACTTTAGGTCCAGGTGTACAATGCGTCGGCTGTGCAGGTAATCCACAGCGCTCAGAATCTGTTCTAGTAGGTCTGTCACATGCGTTTCTGAATATAGATTCCTGTATACCATCAAGAGTAAATGGTAAGGTCATTTTTTTCAACACCGACTGTTATAGATATTGATTTTCACTAGTATCTTTAAATGTGATGATATAATTGACCAGAACACTTGAAATAGTATTATTCCTCTCACCTTTCTGCAAGGTTATAAAGAAGCTCTCGCCCTGAGCACAGCTCCTCTATAAGCACCAGGCAGGTTGGGGTGAGGATGGCCGACTGCAGCTGGACGATCCGAGGGTGACTCAGCCGGCGAAGCAGTTGATATTCCCTCAAAACCAATTGCCTCTGCTCTGGTCTGTAGTGGGTTATCTTAGCTGCCAACATCTGAGAGCTGCGACTATCCTCACACTGCGTTACCACACTGAAACGGCCTCTGTCAAATGAAACAATATTGATTGTGTTTATTTACTTACTTGTTGTCACTGTCTCTTTGGCATCAATAATTATGTCTTAGTAAATGTAGTTAAATAAATTTGCAACATAAAAGGATTGTAAATAAAGGCAATCAATGTTCTGTAAGCAATTCAAATTTGTTTTGCAGTTTAAATACTATTAAGGCTTATTCACACTGTCCCATCAAAAACCAACAGGGTTAAAACACACTGATCTAACTAAACCCAACTACAAATTTGGAAGTGTTTGGTGGGACAATGTGATCTAGTGGTTCTCAACCAGGGGCCCTCAACAAACTTCCAAGGGGGCTTCAAGATGTCTTAAAATAAGGAAAATGAGCTAAAAAAAATCTTATTTCTTATTATTTGGTTATTTTTTATAATGAATATACATCCTACTAGTTATACCCAGCTCCAAAATATTTTATTGGGTAGAAATTGTGAGTGAGGGGGGCCTTCAAATATTGTTATGGACAATGAAAGGTTGAGATCATCAAGAAGCTGCAAATGTTTATTTGCATATATAAATATGCAGTCAAGTACAGTACCTGTTGATTTCAGACAGGAATTTATAAGACTTCTCAGTGCCAAGACCTCCAGGTACAGTGACCTTTGACCCAATAGATTCCATCTGAATGAGAGGATTGTGAGACTCTGCAAAAATAAAATAAGAAATTAAAATCAAGGTGTCATAATACTTTTAAGTAAACAGTCTAATACGAATCTGTTATAATGCACATTCCATTTATTATAATAGAGAGATTGCATTATATTTAAAGATGTTAATTTACAAACACAAAGGTTGACGGTTCAATCCAAAGTGACCCAGAAACAGGACATTTGCAGAGATCTCATTTAGGGTGTGGTAATAAATTGTAAGCCACTTTGGATACAACTAAGAATTATTTTCAGAATGTTGTACCTTCATAAGGCGTGGCCATAAAAGCAGGTGGTGAAGGGTCACTGAAAGGTGCCAACCCTGTCTTGGTGTTAAATGACACTCTGAATATATATCCCGGTCCTCTCGGAAGGGCATTAGCAGTGAAACAGCTGTCTGTGACATTCTCTGACAATGTTCTCCACTCCCCACCTAATATAAAGGAGAATAAATTATTTAGGAGGATGCATGAAAAAAAAAACCATGCTCAAATACAAAATAAATGCTCATAATGCAGGATGAGTTTGATTTTAATCTCTTTTACGGAGTCTTTAAGATGTATTCTTACCATTTACACTATACTGAATACAATACGTGACAAGGTCTTTGGATGGCACAGGTTTCCAGAACACAAGAGCTCCACCCACTGCTAGCTGAATGACATCTGGCCTGGATGGTTTGACTGGACTTTCTGGTAGAACATTAAAAAAACAATTGAAAACTTTAAACAACTTTATAAAATACACTAACATTCAAACTTTTGGAGTCAGTATTTTTTTTTTTTTTTTTACATTGTGTTTGTTGGAATTAATGATACACAATAAATTATTAAATGCAGATGACCAAATCAGCCCAACAAACATACCTTTGGTTTTCTTAAATATCGGCATTTTCAGCAAGAACAATTTGGAGCTCTTCTGAGGACTTTCCGATGAAGTGGCAGCAGGAACTGGGGCAGGGTGAGTCATTTTCTCTGGCATGACAGGCGAAGGGTTCTTCACAATTGGTCCTGCTAGAAAGAGTTAGAGATGTAATTTTTATACACAATCAAATGATTTTTTGACAACTGAACAGAGAAGTATCTGCTATTCGATATTATAAGTGTTAAAGCATTAAAAGTAGCCTACCGCCTTTCTTCTTCTCTACGTCATCCATGCTGCACTGTCGGGTGAACAATTTCGTAATGCTAGATGCTGAAGCTTGCATCTTCTTCCTCAAGGTTAGAAGAGGGGTCTTGGGCCGAGTGGATGCTCCTTCTGCTTGTTTCTTTTCCAAGCCCTCTAGCTGAGGAGAAGAATGGCTAGCCCACGAGTGCTTGCGGAAGATCTTCATGAATCCAGGCTTGGAAGATTTCCCACTCGGGGGCTTGTCTTGTAGAGCTGGGGCTGAGGCATATCTTTGAAGCACCTCTTTGCTTTCTTGGCCTGCAACCACAGCCTGGACAGGAACTGCAGAGGAGCTTCTTCTCAGAGCAATGCCGCTCTTATGTCGCATCTCATTTAATCCAGAGCTTGAACTGTTGGTGCGCCGTCTTGGCGGGGCTTGCGGGATGTCTTGCCGAAGAGATCTCAGAACGCTCTCCATGTCATCATCCTCAGAGTCCTGTAGAAGAGAGCATGGAGATGTTTTTCCAGAGGATCCAGCGATCAAGATTTCACCGTGTTGGTGTTTATGAGAGAGTTCTTCATATGAGCCTACCCTGCTAGATGCCTCTGAACCGTGGTCAAGCGAGCATGCTAGCGATGATAGCTGTGAGCCATCCACGCTCTCCTCATCACCTAAATGTGCTGCTTCTGTTTCCATGATCTGCAATTGCATGTCATCCTCACTTGAACATTTCAAGACTGGCTGATGTCCTTCTTCGAGCTCATGGACCTGCGCTCTCACCTTCCTCATAACAACGGGGCCCTTTTTCGACAAAAACGCAGAGCGACGGAGGAGTTTCCTTCTCACTTGGACTTCTTCAGTTTTTGCCTCCTCTTCGTCAGTGGCGTCCGGCTTCTGGCTAACTTCGACATCATGCTTGTTTTCTCCCTGCATGATTGAAGCTGGAGAGCGTTGCATGCACACATCTAATGATCTGCTTCTTCTCTGGGTGTGTATGTTTGGATGGGCAGCACTCACTCCACTATCAAACGAGCTGGACTTAAGGATAGACGAATGGATTGATCCTCTTCTTTGGTTACGATTGGCTTCTAAGTCTGGGGAATCTTCTACATACTCTATTAGGGGCTCGTTCAACCTACCGGAGAGGCTTGCACGGAGGGGTTTACGGCCACGCTCTTGCTTTTTAGCTTGGATTTTATCCCGCAGTGTCATGTGACGAGCAGATATGGGTGAGAGCTGCTCGGAGCTGCAGTAAAAAGTGCTTTTGATGAGGCTATGACGTGGTATGGGAAGCTCACCAGCCAATTCTTCATCTCCCTCAGAGAGGTGAAGAGAGGGGCTACTGTCCCTTTGCTCCAAGCTTATCGGCTCTGGTGATGGTGAGTTCATGGGAATCACCAGCGGGCTACTGTGAACTCTGTCCTTACCAATAAGCACATCTTCCTCATCCCGTTTTAAAATTGTGGGCGTCTTTGACACATGAGCGTAGGGGTCATATTCATCCTCTTCTTCCAAATCATCTTCATCCTCCTGGCTCGCCTGCTGGAAGAAGTCCCAGGCATCAGCCTCATCATAATCTGAAGAGGATCCACTACTTAGCGAGGTGCTGCTGGGCTCCTGGGACTCCTTTGCAGCTGTAATCGAAACATCACGCAGAGGAGCCTCCAATAACTCTGGGATCGGTCTCAGAGTCAGAACCGAGCCGAGGCATGTTAAAGAACGCTGAAAGAAAAGGGAAGAAGCATGGAAAAGAGTAGGAAGACATGAAAGAAGAACATTTTCCTGGACAATCAGTAGCAGAGGAGAAGATTTAAAATCATACCTGCCATTTTCTTCTTGAAATAAAAGATTTTACATTTTTAGTATTTATGTCCTCTGGTTCTTCATCTTCATAATAGCCCTAAAAATAATTACATTTATAATTTAAACTGACACTAAATTGTATTTGTGCACTGATGGTATCTGATGGTCAGATGGTTATCTGATGGTATAGATATACATGAAACCACCTACCTGAAACCACTCGTGACTCAAACATTCAGATGCAGATGGTCTCATTCTGTGAAGGTGGAACAAAATAACTTCAACTACTAATAACTAATCAACTGCTGCTCATAAAAACAAATACACCCATGTAAACAGATCTTACTCTGGGTCTGGCTGTAGAACCCTATGTAGGAAGTCCTGTGCCTCCACACTTCTGCTTGTGATCTCAGGAGTGTCCCAGTACAGCAAACCCTCAGCAACCTTCATCAGTGTGGCACGGTCGTTCTCACCGAAGAAAGGACAGTGGCATGTTAAGCTTCCCAAAAAAAACAAAAAAAACAACAACATTATTTTCTACCAATATATATATATATATATATTTGACTTTAATAGCCACATAAAATTGCAGCAAACCTAAAAGGAAAATATCTGCTGGCTTCATGCCTTCAATGCACTTACCATAAGTAAGTAACCACACCAAGAGACCTGAAACAAATAAAATATCATTCACCAAGAAGTAAAAGACAGAACTGCATTTCTGAACATGACAAATTCGGTTCACCACAATTTTCAACAAGCCACAAAATTTGATACCAGATATCAGTGGCTACTGTCACAGGTTCTTGGTGGACAATTTCTGGAGCAACAAATTCTGGTGTCCCAAACACACTGTACTGATGTCTGGAGTTGTCAATTTCCTGGCAGAATCCAAAGTCACAGATTTTGATGTCTTCTCTAGCAGGGGACACCATTAGGATATTGTCTGTCTGAAGAGAAAAGATTTTTTAAAAGTTAGACAGAATTTAAGAAGGACGACCACAGGTCAGAAGATGTCTTTACCATAGACACCAATTGGTCCAATTTTAGAAAAGGACTGTCAGTGACTGTAAAAGCTTTTAGTATCCTATCAGTAAAATTTCTTGTAATATATACAATTTTAAATGAATGCCACTTAAAACAAATATTATAAAGTAAGTATAATAACTTACTTTGATATCAAGATGTAGAATGTTCATACTGTGTATGTATCCAATGCCCTCCAGAACCTGCTGAATATATAACTGAACCTAAAAACAATTAATGATCATTATAACTTTTGCTTTATTTCTGTGTGAAAGTGTGACTGAAATTCAATGAATTATCAATATTACCTCCCTCTCTGTAACCGACCCCTTTAAAAACAAATGATCTAGTAACCCCTGTGTAGAACATCTGTGGGAGGGAAAAAAGAATGCTACACATTCAAACATATTCGATTCAATTAATGATTTCTAAAAAGCAAAATGATAATTATTGACTAATTTAACAAAAGTACGAAAACTTGAATCCTACAATTCTACAACCAACACCAGGGTGCGTCTTGTGGAGAAAAAGTCCAGGAGGCATGCGAGTCTGCGGTGAGCTAGACGGGACAGTAGGTCTCTCTCCTGGAACGCTCTGGTCCGTGTGCTGCTTCTGAGTGGAAGGAACTTGGCAGCAAAACATTCGCCACTCGCCCTATGTGTTACTTTTTTAACCACTCCAAAGGTGCCCCTGGTTATCCACAAAAAAGCAGATAAATGTTAATAAGTTCTGTAGTGAATGACATAAAACAAATCAATCTATGCATTAACCATTACATTTGACAAAAAAAAAGGTATGTTAGATTACATGAACCTCAGTTCAAGATTGAGTTGGTATTCATTATAAATCAGTGAGCTTTTAATACCTTGATTGAGGATATTACCTTCCTATTTCTTCATAAACTTCATATACAGAATGTAGTTTCCGTCTTTTTCCAAACTCCACTTCTTTCTCCTCCTCAATTTCATCTAGACCTAAAAAGGAAATTTAAATTTAATTTAAATTTACTTAAACACACTATTAGTTCCACATTCCACTACTGCTTCCACATTTCAAAATATGGAAACATATATATAGGATTTGTAAAGATAAAATGGAAGGAAATAATAAATCTCTACAACTCACCTGTATCAACACAGAGTTTAGCGTGGCAAGATGCTTGTCCTGCACTGTTGCTAGCTATGCACGTGTAGGTGCCACACTCCTCTGTTTGAGTATCCAGCAAAGTGAGAGAGCAACGCGCACTACTTTGGACTATTTCTGTGTACTCATTGGATGAGATTTCCTTGTCATCCTGCAGAAAACCAAATATGTGCATTCTACTGCAGTAAATACAAGTTAAGGTTTATTGTGTTTCCATCCCAAAATAAGTATATCAGTATGCATTGTTACTATTTTGTTCTTATAATACCTTAAACCATTGAATGTCTGGGGTGGGTTGGCCAGTAATAATCGCAGAGAACGTCACAGCCTGACCAGGCCGGACTGTCAGGTTTTCAATGGCCACTTGCACAGCTGGAGGCTCTATGAAAATAAATGATGGATTGACAAATTTCTCTGGTGATAATTTTTCACACAAATTGTTTAAAAACCACATACAGTCTTTACCTGTCAGCAGCTCCTCTGTGTTTGAGTAAAAGTGTTCCTCAGGATCCATGGGTCCCTCTAGCTGTGCTGCCTGGACCTGCCTCTCCACATCATCCTGTTCTTCAAGAGTGTGTTTATCTTCAACGCCAGCAGCAGGTCTTCAGAAGCACACATTTTGCCACAAGACATTAAAACGAGATTATCAATTCACCTGAATTTCACTGCCTTTATGTATAGTTTAAGTATACTGCATACATGCTGTACACTATGGTTCTTAAGCAATGTTTACAGCCCACAGACAACACAGAGTGTATGCAAACTCACAGTTCAGGGTATCCAGGCTTAAAGAGTATATGAAACAGGTTCTTCACAAAGGAACTGGACCAACCTTCTGATTGGGGCTCTATTTGAAAACAATTGGGCAGTCAAACTTACTCTATTTGATTTTACATACACTAACATTCAAAGGTTTGGAGTCAATATGATTTTTTAAAAAGAAATTAATACTTTTATTCAGCAAGGAAGCATTAAATTGATCAAAGGTTACATTTAAGACATTTACAATGTTAAAAAGTATTTCCACAGTATTTCAAATAAATGCTGTTCTTTTGATTAAAGAATCCTGAAAAAAATGCACCATGGTTTCCACAAAAAAAAAAACTGCAATGTTTAACACTGATAATAATAAGAAATGAGTAATACAAGTAAATAAATAATAAAACATAACTGTACTTTTATCAATAATACAACGGTTCTTTTATTAATAATGTAACTTAATAATGCAACCTAAAATAATTCTGTAATGTAAAAACTTACAGTTAAAAAACAGTTAATTAATCACTAAGATCTGTGGTGGAACAGTCATCTTCAAACAAGGAATGTAGAGGGATATTTGTTTGCAGTTCTTCTCTAAACTCAATTGTGAAATAACAAAATCACTTACCGTGAATATGGCAGGTATAAAAACAGCCTTTCCCAACCAGTGTTTTAAGTCACAGATCACATGTATAGACAGTCACATTGCCTCACAGGAAGTGCAAAGGGCCACTTGGCCCTATCTGCAGCAAGGCTTGAGTCTTGGCACATAACCAGCTTTGAAGATGGACATGGCATGTTAGCGGAGCATGCACTGACGAGGAAACCGTGAGAACATGTATATAAACAGATATGAGGAATGGACAAGGAGAAGAACAGAGACAGCGAGAAAGGAGAAAGGGAGAGGACCATACATGCAAAATGTTGGAGCATCTTTGTGAAGACACTTACATGATGATTTTGATCAGATCTTTAGTCTCCTGCTCTGTAACTAAAAAGGAAATGGGATGGAAAGTGTGGTGTTAACCAGGATATGGAAATGCACGTGACAGACCAGTGTTCAAAAGCTGCTTATGAACCACTTAAAGTATGTGGCATAAATGAAAACATATGACCACATAGGTATGATATAGTAAAGAATGCATTAAAATGTATGATATATGAAGTAGCAAGCAGTTTCATTTAAACTCAAATGAATTAAAGACAACTAAAATTAAACAAACCATACTGTTCAAAGTTTGGGGTCAGTAACACTAGTTTTTTATGGTTTTATTTATATATATATAAAAAGAAATTAATACTTTTGTTCAGCAAGGACAAATGTAAATGTCTTGACTGTTGACTTAATCAATATAATATTTGAAATAAATTGTGTTCCTTCTACTCATCAATGAATCCTGAAAAAAAGTAGCACTGTTTCCACAAAAGTATTAAGCAGCAAAACCATTTTCAACATTAATAATAAGAAATAAATAAATATAGCCTTGTTGAGAATAAGAGAATTCAAAAACATTTTAAAAATTCTTACCAACCTCAAACTTTTAAATAGTAGTGTATATGTACACTAAAAATGTTATATTATAATGTAAGTAGATGTTTCCAATGACATAATACAATGGATACGCCTCTATGACGATGGCCGATGATGTTTTTGATAGTTTGAGTGATCCCATCAAATGTTTGTTCCAGACCAAGAAGCTATTGAATATGGGAAACAGCACAGCATTATTAAACATATGATTTTACATATGATTCCATTCTACAGAGCTAGTTGTTAGAGTGAAATGGACATTTAGAAGATCTGGAGTTTCAGTGACGAAACATGAGGAATGGGTGGGAACGAGTGCAGTTGGAGGTGACTGTGGTATGTGCTCCTTCAAAGCCTACTGGTGCCCACCAGTTTTTAGTGGGCGAATGCATGCATTCTCTGCCTTAAATAGTAATTGCTGTTCACCTTCTCCTTCGTCCTACCTGGAGCTGGGGTAGTTTGTGATTGTTTTTGGGTGCTGACCGTCACAGCTAATGGTGCTGGAGGGCAGAGTTCAGCTTTACACTTGGCACTGCCCACTTCATTCAGTAGCTGTATCATAAATACAAAGAAAGAGTATTGGGATTCATATATGATACGAATAAGTCATTGAAAAGTAGTAAAAGACTCTGGTACCTCACACTGGTATTGACCCAGATCTGCCTCTTCCGCTGTCTTTATGGTGAGAGTGAGAATTCCTGTCTGGCCATCAGATTGAATCAGATGTTTCCTGGTGTTTTCAAGTTGAACGCCATCCTTAAACCACCTGTACATATAAATTGTGTAGGCTCTTTTATAACCATATACGCCATTACATTAATTTGAGTGGATGAAACCAGTTTTACCTTATGGACGGTAAAGGAGCAGATTGTGTGGAGCACTTGAACTGCATATCTTGTCCCTTTACAAGCACTGAGTTCTGTAGTCTTGTTGTGAAACTTGGAGGCACTTTGTGAAACAATGTTTTGGGGTCAGAAACATTTATTAATGTTTTTGATAGAAGCCTCTTATGCCCACAAAGGCTGCATTTATTTGATCAAAATACGATAAAAACAGTAATATTGTGAAATATTAAGTTTAAATAACTTTTTTTCTTTTAATATATTTTAAAATATAATCTATTCCTGTGATGGCAAAGCTGAATTTTCAGCATCATTACTTCAGTCTTACAGTCACATGATCCTTCAGAAATCATTCTAATATGCTGATTTGGTGCTCAAGAAACATGTCTTATTATTATTAATGTTGAAAGCTTTTTTTGCTGCTTAATACTTTTGTGGAAACAGTGATACATTTATTAAGATTTGTTTGATGAATTTTCAAAAGAATAGCATTTAAAAGTTTAAAAGAACAACATTTTTTTAAAGAGATCTTTTGTAACAATGAAAATGTTTTTGCTCTCATTTTTGATCAAATACTGCATCCCTGCTAAATAAAAGTATTCATTTCTTTAAAAATAAATCATACTGATCCCAAACTTTTGAACAGTAGTGCGTATGCAAGATATATGAATGTAAATATATGCAAAAACTAGAAAAGCATGGCAATAATAACCATTTCTCAAAAACATACCATCAATCATGATATTAGCCAGAGTGCTTGCGTTCCCTGCAGGATTGGTTGCATAACACATGTATTGACCTGAGTCCACCACTGTGACGCCAGTCAGTACAAGATAGCAAGCACCCAACTGTCCTTCTGATGTAATGTGATGTTCGTCATCCTTCACAGGATGACCATCTGAGGAAAGCACATCAGCAGAATCCATTTATAAATTAAATTTAAACTCCCCATATTTATACACACACATACATTATATCATTTACCTTTATACCACTTTATTGCTGGTTTTGGTGTGCCAGTGACCTTGCAGACCAGTTTTACAGTTTGTCCAAGCTTTGCTGGATAGTTAGTAAGATGTTGCTCAAAGCACGGGGCACCTGCAAATATAAACAAAGAGGTGCGGAAAAAATGCAATCATTTCAAGGTCAAAACTGATTTATTCATAAGTGTGCTCTCCTGTGTCCTAACTTACTCCAAGCGGGCTGTTTGCTGCGCTGCTGCAGGTCTCTCAGATCTTTGAGCCAAGAGAGGCGGAGGAGGATTGATCGAGCTTGCAGAATAATTTTTCTCAGCATTCCCCGGTGCTCATGCCAAAGACCAAATGACCTGTCATCTCCTTCCACTGTATCCTTTACATCAATATCACTCAACTGTGAAGAAAGCAAATGTATTTGGAATGGATGTGAAATGGACTGCAGTGATTAGCGCTGCCATGCTATACAAGATATTACATATGCAGTGTACTTTACATGAGTCTTCAATTGCAAGGTAAACTTGAAATTTAGCTCTGTTTTCATTGGGATAGCATGTAGAATAGACAGTAAAACTTCTTCACTACTAAAATGCTGTACTTGTAAATGTATAGCTGATTAAACCTTCATTTTATTCTTGAATATGTAGGCCTCAGTGTATGTGCCAAGTTCTCTCTTTGGCTTGCAGAATACAATACAATCTTTAAAGAGAAAGACGTGGCGGTGATGTCCTCTCTGAGAGACTTTGACCTCAGGAATCTCCTCCCATACTGTAAAATGGCCCTAGAAAAAACAACACATAACACTATCATTAGCAGAATGACACCTTCCAATTCTTACTCACACTTGTCATCTTGTCAACCTGCAAACAAAGAGGTTCCAAATATGATGAGGCAGTACCTGTCTAATGGGTTCTCCAAGCCCCTTGAGAGGTGCTGGGTAATTCTCAATCATGGAAAGATGATGCAAGTTCTCTGCACGCCAAGGCAAGCTGGAAACCATGGCAAAGGCATCCTCTAACAGGCAACAGTTCTGTTCGCTCTTTGCTTTGTTCCTGATAAGCTCCTAAAAAGACAAAAATGGAAGAGATTTACATGCTGTATTGAAAGCAATAATTATGGCTGATCTTTTTTGCTGTGTTTATACACACACTACCATTCAAAGGTTTGGGGTCAGTAAGAATTTTTTTTTTATTAACAGTAACATTTATCAAGCGTAGCGTTAGTTCTGGCAGGTCACGTTAGTCAAGCTCGCATTAGCTGACCCTCAGCTTATCCACATCTACCAGGAATACGACGCCTATCACCGTATTCATATATAAGCTCCTTCAGTATTACCAGCTGCTATTGCGTTTCTCAGGAGCTAATTACCCTCCTCCATCCCCAGCTCCTCCTCTCGCCCAGTCAGGATTTGACATTCGGATTCCCCTTGAATCAGAATAATTATCGAATAATGTTGTACTTTAAAATCTTGAATGAAATATATTTGCAAATTTTCATGTTGGTTCTGTTCTGTTTACCCTAAGGGGGATTATTGCTGCTCTCCCTGCTCTTATCCATGCTAGGCTGCATGGATGCGCAGGGAGTTCACGCCCAGAACGGAACCATACAGCCAATCCAAACTGTGTGCTAATTGTCAATCATATTTGACGGTAGTGGTCCTGACAGAAATAATGTTACTAACGATTTCTATTTCATATAAATACTTCTCTTTTGAATGTTGCGTTCATAAATATATTTGTGGAAAACACACCTTTTAGGATTCTTTACGTACCATCACTGTTTTCAACATTGATAATAACTAGTGCAAAAGTTTTTGTGTGCAAAATCAGTTTTTGTGTGTGTTTTTAGTAATTGTTGGTTTGGTGTATTTGAGTTTGTTACAATTGTTACTCATTGTTCCAATTGAACAGCAAAAGTTCAGTGACATTTTTATTTGTGCATGGTAGAAAGCAAATACTGATACTGACATAATGACATACAATAAATGTGGAACATTGAACTACACGATTTAAGTTTGAAATCCATAGGAATAACGGTTCAAGAGATATGCGAATAACACACACACACACACACACAGACAGAAAGACGTTCCCGTAATTTATAGATCTATCTATCTATAAATTACAGAAACGTCTGTCTGTCTGTCTGTGTGTGTGTGTGTCTGTTAACCACATATCTCTCGAACCGTTAGTCTGATGGATTTCAAATTCGACAGGTGTCCTGCCAAAGGCACGAGTAAGTGCAGTGCCAAGTTTGACGTTGTTTGGATGAGAAATGCAAAATATATTGTTAAATATATAATTTTTAAAAGGTTGTGGTTTAAAAATAAACAGTCTGACATTAGAGGGTTGCATCGGTCAAAGAAGCCCCAAAAAGGTTGTGGTTTAAAAATAAACACTGTCAGCTACACTGTTTAATTGTGAATATTATAGTTTGGTTCCAAAACGTGATAAATCCATTTTGATTAATTTGAGTAAAAATGTGTTTTCTTTACCAAGAAAGTGGCAAGATGAACCACTATTTTCTGTTTTAAACTTTCACATAGCATCTTTACACTGTAAAAAATTATCGTGATTTTAACGGTAAAAGACTGTAAAAATGCTACAGTGCAAAACTGTTAATTGGTTAACAGAAAGTTTCCTTACTATAAACGGTAAATAACTGTGATAGATCTAACGGTACATTTGATGCAATTTTACTGTAAAATACCGTTAAATTTACAGTTTTTGAAAGTGAAAAGAACAACTCATTGTACAACTGCATGACACTTCACATTTGATTTATTTTTGTTGAAATAACAATGTTTCTTCTTAGTTTTATTAGTTCTTTTCTAATCAGTTATGTACATTAGGGTTTTATGTTACATTTAATGTTGTTAAATTAATGTTTATTGCATTTTTAAAATGTCATGTGTGTTACCATGATGGTGTTTAATATTTGTGCGAATAATACTGTGCAGCTTCAATATAATAGTATTAACTTTCTTGTGGAAGATTGCTTGTGATGATTTATCATGTGACGCTCTTCACTGCTGTGATGATTGTTGGTTGTCAGTGTATTACAGGTACAAAACAGATATTGATACTTCAATAGGATGGTAAATTATCATTATATCAGATAATGAATTACGGTTTATTACTGTAAATTTTAAGTAAAGTCTGTAAAACCAAAAACGTTGATACTGTATTTTTGACGGTAAAGTTCTGGTAACCACAGCTGCCAGTTTTTTTCCATAAAAACAACGGTATTTTTTTTTACAGTGTAGGTTATAATAACGTAAAAAATTCAAATCCAGATTTTGATTTTCAAAGATTTATTATAAAAACGGATTGTTTTTTCCAAAAATGCAATAAATTCATGACACTTTTTTTTTCAAAATGCAATTAATCCATTGAATCTATATAAAAGTTATTTTTTATCATATTGAAACTGTTGAAATCAGCCATCGCTAAGAAATATCTTCTGATCTTTTTTGACGGCGATCAGCTCACAAAAACTGATTTTGCACGGGCACTTTGCACTGCTCCCTGCAGAATCGACGTGCTTATTCATTTGTGGATGTAAACTGAATCTATAAGTCAGCTATGCTGTTTACTTCTGAATATTATATTTAACTCTGGTGCGCTTAACGTTATCGCTACTGTGTAAATGCTATTCACCAACTAAACATATCCTTTTCAATGCGTTCACAGTCTCTTTCACGGGCATCATTTGTAGTTGCCTATGCACTGCACTTGCCAGTTCACTGTGTGCTTTCTACCATGCACAAATAAAAATGTCACTGAACTTTTGCTGTACAATTGTAACAATGTGCACTCAAACACACCAAACCAACAATTACTAAAAACACACACACAAACACTGATTTTGCACGGGCACTTTGCACTGCTCCCTGAATCGACGCGCTTATTCATTTGGATGTTAAAGCTATAGGGTATACGATTTCAAAGATTGTTCATTATTAATATCCTCGTTTAGATGCTGGTTATGGTTATATAGTACAATCCTAACAATAGGAATAGAAAAAAGAATGAAAAAAATCCATTCACTCTATTGGCTGTACAGCCGCAGAGAAGTTGAACAATGTAAGCTGTCCGGCCGGACAGCTTACATTGGTCAACTGCTCTCATCCAATCACCAGCTTCACTTGAAACTCCGCCTGGCGCTCGCGTCTCCACCGCACCCGCCCCCCTCCTGCGTCATGAAATTGCGCGCGTAAGCAGCTGACAGTCTATGGTAGCTAGCTAAGTAGCATATCAGCAATGGATAATAAAAAAAAAGACAGCATCAAGTGTCCCCTGCTTGTCCCTACAGTAAAGTTAGGACGAAAGAGAAAGTCATTAGAGGAACGAGCAGAGATTAAAAAAAAAAGTGAATAACGCCGAACTTTGAGTAGGATAAATATATGGACCCTCCACCATTGACCGTTGGAGGAAGCTTCAGGAAGATCTGGGACTAAAGACCGACGCTGACACGGCTGACTTTTTGTTGAGCAGGTAAACATTTATTTATACTTTTATGGTGTGACGTGTTACATAAATAGCTTTTTATCAGTTTGACAACTTGCTCATGCTGTCGGTCGGCATTGGAATGTTAGCCGTTTAGCATCGCCTATCACGGGTCAAAGTAATTATATTTCTTGAAGTCCTTGAATATATTTCAGTAGGCCTAGCGGGTTTCTGTTCGAGCCGATCGAAATTTGAACAAGATGCGCTGTGTGCTGCAATAACAATTACTGAAAACCTTAGCAATACTAGATTATACTAATGGTGGTGGGGAGTTTAGAACATTTCATGTGTTGCTAATCTTGCGTTGACGTGAACTCAAACGTGACATTGAATTGTTGATGAAGCAACTAAGTTCAAGTGTCTAAAGGCAATTTTACATATGTGTCATTATAGCGAGGTCATTAGATTGAACATTACATGAACTGACATTACATCTCAGTTCCGATGTTTACTACCGATGATCACAGCTTGACTGAGTGACGTAGTTCAGTTCGTTTCCCGGTGGGAGGGATCAGGTAGCACAGACGGGAGGGGTGTGTGCAAGGGGGTAATCCATCGACCGGAAGTTGAAGCCGGCCGGGTGCCGCCATGTTGTAGCAGAACTTCACTTGCGTTAGCATTTCCATTGACTCCCAGTCATTTTGGCGTCACTTTGACAGCGAATAACTTTACATCTGAGGCATTTAAAGACTCCATTTGTCCATTATTTATTTCTAAAGAAACATGACAATGTATAAAGGGCTCCATTACCTTCTATGTTACATTATGGCCCCGTAGAAACAGATTTAGTAAAAATAGGCTAACGATTGCGTCATAACCACTCGACTCTCTGTCGCGCTGTACAGAAATTACCGTACAGACAGGAGGAGAAGCTCGCAGGCAATCGGGGGGACGTCCCGTCAAGGGAGAAGCCCATAGATAATGAGTCCATAAAAGCAACGGAATACTTACTCCTGCTCACTCACGCCAAAGCACTCTTTGCTCAAGTTCCCCGTCTCTGCAAGATTAACGTTGGCAATTTTCACGCACAGCTACTAGAAGATTAACGTCTGTCAGACAGGTTGCTCACGTCATCAAGCTTAGTTTGAGTCGGTCTGAGTCTGCGCGTCAGGAACGGAAGTTCTCAAAAATCGCTAAAAGTGGGCTTCAACTGTCTCAACTGAGTTCCAATGAGATCGCTCTGTCCATTTCTTTTACTGTCTATGGGTGTGTGTGTGTGTGGAGGGGCGGGATGCGTTTTTTAAAAATTCAGGCTTTCTCGACCGATTTTCAAAATCGCATACCATAGCTTTAAAGTAGATTTAGCATTGTTTGTAATTTCTTGTTGACTCAATAATAAACTGCAATTTCAGAGTTGGATCTGTTTGTTTGTGTTTCATATTAATATAACATTATATGTAAAACGTCCAACTGTTTACGAATTAAAATCCGGACTTACTGTGATGCATGTATGAATTATCATGTTAGACTAAGTTAGTAATGTAATAGCCTCTATAGAGCCCGAATTTGCTTTTATATAAGTTAACCTTGTTTACGTTACTTTACGACCTGCAAC